CCTGGGCCTTGCTAGTGTCGAGCTAAGACTGTTCAAGAGCCATTGCTCTACATGGGCCAATGGTTTACTGTTAAGACAGCTGGTTTTCAGACTAGATTTGCTAACACTTCCAAAAAGCATTGGCTTCCTTGTTTAGAAAGAAACTTTCTGACATAATCATCATTAGTCATACACAGTTTATGATCAGCAGAGTTGAATGATATCCTGTTGCAATCTGAATATTTAACCAGTCAATATGATTTACACAGACTTCAAAAAGAATTCTGATGTTCAAACTTTCAAATTTTAAGTCAATATAGCATATTCACTTATCATCATGAATAAAGACAAAAAATACTGTGAAAGAAACCAGACCCCAGAGATTGCAAATTGTAGGATCCTCCTTCTAGGGCATTCTAGAATGGAAATTAAAAAAAAAAAAAAAACACTGGTTTTTGGGAGCAGGGTTGTCTCAAAGAGGGCGTGAAGGAATGGGTGATGGAACTGATTCATATACTGGTGGAGGTGCGGTGGTAACACATAGAACTGTATACCTAAAAAGAGTATGTCTTCTTGTAGATAAATTTTACAGCAATAAAATCAACAAAACAACTCAGCACAGTAACCTGAAGATAAATAAGAGTGTAAAATACATGTATTCTTTACTTGTGTACCTAAAGACAGAAATGAAAGAAAGAAAACAAACACAACTTCCCCATTCAGAGACAGGTTCACTTCACCCACAGCCTCTGATCCGGTGAAGGCTACACGTTACCGTGGATACAAGCTATTCTTTCTTTTTGTGTGGTGCTTCTGAAATGATTAAATCCTGACTCCCATGCAGTGCAGGAGTAAACTCAGAAATATTCCAAGTCTCCCCAGGGTTTTTCATTTTTAGGAACCTGCCCATAATGTTTTCTTCACGAATGCATGAGAAACTGTGTGATGTTAGTGAACATGTCCTTAAGGGATTAAAAGAAGAAAGCTGAGAATGTTTTTTGGCTAAACCCGAGGGCCATGCTAAGATTTCCCACTGGTTCCAAAGTCATTCAGGATCTTTCTTTGTTTTTTTGATACGGAAATTATTTCCCAAACACAGACAGACTGCAACCCCTCCTCTCCCAGCCGACGTGTGTGTGAGACTATGAGTTTGTAATTTATGGCTTGGATAATGGGCGGACTGTGGGTAGGTTTTAAAATCGGGAGAATTCTCTGGGGGTGGGATTCAAAGGAGCAAGTTGTGGTAACTGATTTATGGCAGAAATATGGCTTTCAGAAAGCACATGTAAGATGTGTTGCCTCAGAGATCGGGAAAGGTTAACATCATGGCAGTCAGTGTGGATTAAGTGCGAAGGCCCGACTCATGCCTCCAAGCATCAGCTCTCACCTCCCTGCCTTGCTCTCAAACAGCCCAGAGCTCCCTACAGCCCCCGTACCAGTGTCTGCCACTGGGCCTTTGTCTATTTGTCCCCCATTCAGTAACTACATCTGATGATCCACCGTGTGTCTGTTACAGATTGGACTGTGCCTGTCCCCAGTCCAGGTGTTGAAGTCCTAACCTCTACCACTAATAGTGACCTTAGGCACACATGGGGTCATTGAAACATGGTGAAGGTGAGGTCATCCTGAGAAGGAGGGGGGACCCTAATCTGATGGGTGCCACCTTCTGATAAAAAGCAGAAATCTGTACACACACACACACACACACACACAGCCATGTGAAGATGAAGGCGAGTGAGAAAGTGATGTGACTATAAGCTAAGGAAGGCCAGAGAACACAGCACACCCCAGAAGCTGGGAGAGGCAGGGACCAGATGCTCTGTCACAGCCCTTCCAAGCAACCACTCCTGCTGACACTCAGATCTTGTACTAGAAGACTTGGGAACTGTGATACAATCAGATTCTGTTGCTCAAACCAAACCAAATCACACTGAAAGAAAAAAATAAGCAAACAACTATAGTTAAGGCTGGTTTCCTACCAACAGTGAGACTCTGCACTTGTATCAGCAGTTCCAACAGCTAAATCCCCTCCCTGAAGAGGGCTGGGGCGCAGGCAGAGACTCGCTCCTTTGTGGACCAGGCCTGTGGCTCTCACTGCCTCAGTGCTGAAACCTAGCACGGGCTTTCTTGATGGAGTGGCTCATCCTCATGGCCTCTGATTTCTCCCCGATTTCAATCTTCAACAGCCTTAAAGGTTTCGCCGACTTCTAAAGCTGTTGGCGTCATCTTTTCCGGAGGAAAAGAGGGCCTGTTACTTGAAGCGTGGCGGCAGCGTGTGGGCTGGGGCTGGCGTCATGCTCTTTGGGGACACCCACAGACTGTCATCCTGGCAAATGCTCCCACACACACCCAATGTCGAGGCATATGGACAACCCCAGGAGCCCCGCACGGCAGCTGTTCCAGCCATTTCCAAGTGCAGGGACCTGAGCAATGTCTTCAATGACATTTTCCTGGCTGGCTCTGACCTCTGAATCTCACTGATTAGTCTAACACACACTGTGAACATCAACTAGTGAGGACTCAAAGCCAGGACTCCAAAATTGCTTTAAAATAGTGAGAGATGTTTAAGGCGTAATTTCAGTGACTTGGTCATTGACTGCTCATTTTCCGATTCGTGCCTCCTTTCTCTCTCCCTCCCTCTCAGTCCCTGTTCCCCTTAGGCTCAATGCTTCTCTAGTAGTCACCCCTAACTGCTAAGACAGTCTGCTGGCAATGCAAGCTTCCGATCTGAGAAAGGGGTAAATCTGACTGGGGGAATTTTTAAAAAATCCTATAAATTATTTAACTTCTCACTATCCTACTCTAGTTCCCTTGTTTAAAAACAATCTTTTTTTTCCTTTCAGAAAATACTGGTTGGACTTGTACAGCCAGAGGGGTCATTTAAAAACACTCAGGTTTACGGCAGGTGTTCTGGTGCAGTGGGTTACGCTGCCATTTGGGATGCCTGCATTACACCCAGGAGTGACTGGTTTGAGTCCTAGCTACTCTGTGCTTCTAATCTAGCTGCTTGCTAACGTGCCCGGGAGTTGGCAAATGGTGGCTCAAGTGCTGGGGTTCCTGCCATCCACGTGAGATGCCCGTATGGAGTTCCTGGCTCCTGGCTTCAGCCTGGTCCAACCCCAGCTGTTGAAGACATTTGGAGAGTGAACCAGTGAATGGAAGAGTCTCTCCCTCTCCCTCCCACTCTCCCTGTCTCTCTCCATCTCCCCCTCTCTGTTTCCCTTTCTGTCACTCTTTCAAATAAATAACTAAATCCTAAATGTATTCATGTGTGATAAAGACATGTTTTACTATTCATAGCCCAAACACCCCAGAACATCAAACATCAGTTGATGTTTTCAGGTACAAGCCCAGCGTGGATTCTACTCACCCAGGGCCAACACCCCAATTTTCCTCTCGCCTCAGCCTCATTCCCACAGGGCACATTCCTTTTCCCAGCCCCACAGCCCTCAGCATCCACCTCCGTTCTCACGAACGCCATGGAGTCCCATCTTTAGACTCAGCTTGCCTGGCCGAAGCCTGGCGCACTTCAACAAAAGCACGGCTGTTGCTCTGTTGCTCGAGTCACCTTTCCCCCAAAACCCTGGTGCTGCATCCACTCCCTCAACAAACACTTCTTAGATCCCTAGTCTGTCCAGAGACTCTGATTCCGTCCTACCTCTAGCCCGGCAGGAGTGGAAACAGTCTAGTTTACCTTATACTGGCCTGAAGGCACACAAGATAAACAAAGCCGCTTTGGTGAAATCAACTGTTCTGCTCTGTACCGTAATTAAAAGCACAGGCGATGGCCGGCGCCGTGGCTCAACAGGCTAATCCTCCGCCTTGCGGCGCCGGCACACCGGGTTCTAGTCCCGGCTGGGGCGCCGGATTCTATCCCGGTTGCCCCTCTTCCAGGCCAGCTCTCTGCTGGGGCCAGGGAGTGCAGTGGAGGATGGTCTAAGTACTTGGGCCCTGCACCCCATGGGAGACCAGGAGAAGCACCTGGCTCCTGCCATCGGATCAGCGTGGTGCACTGGCCACAGCGCGCTGGCCGCGGCGGCCATTGGAGGGTGAACCAATGGCAAAAAGGAAGACCTTTCTCTCTGTCTCTCTCTCTCACTGTCCAGTCTGCCTGTCAAAAAAAAAAAAAAAAAAAAAAAAAAAAAAGCACAGGCGACACCAGTGGCAAGGATGGGCTGTCCGCTGGGCTTGAAGCGGCCATGCCACCTGCTAAGGCAATAACCCAGCCTGGACTAAACCCCAACTGAGAACAGCCAGGGCCTCTTGCAGATAGATGTGAGGCTGCTGCCTGGGTGAAGACACGGGTCAGTGGCCAACATTTATCAACAAAGTGCAAGTGCCGCTTCAGCTGTGGCCAATTTAAGGAGCTCGTGTCACCTGTTGACATGGGCCCTCCAACCTCCTTTGGTTATAGCGCTCCAGTCTCCACCTCCAATCAAACAGGGGACCTATGGAACATGTAGGGGCATTCCCGTGCCTTTTGAGCATGCATACCATGCCACCTCCCCAGATTTCCCTAAAACTTACTGAATAGGCGTAGCCTCCCCAGAAGCAAGGCCTGCAAAACTTGTAACTCTTGGCTGGTCGGGGAGCCTGTTTTTTGATCACCAGTTCCCCTTGCTGCTTGTTTGGAAAACCCAATAAATGCCTTTCTGCTGACAGCTCCAAGCAATGTCTCCAAGTTTCCACTGGCGCTCCTTGCTAGACAAGCACCCTTGGACAACCCACCTGGTTACAGCGATATTCCATGCGCAACCTTTCAATCCCCTACTTTCTCTGCCTTTATTTCCTACCTCCAGACTGCTGTCCTCCGCCTCATTTCTTTAGCTTGGTTTTCTTCCAGATTCAACCCTTCCACCCACAGTCATAAGCACTGTCCCTTTCTCTGGAGTTCATTACCGGTGTTTGTTTCTTCAAGTCTACCCTTGCCCGCATACAGCTGCCAAGTCACTTCCACTTAATACACGCACTCCTTTATCTAAACAAGGAGAAATTATACAGAGAGAGATCTGGGCTGGTACCTGCTGCATGCCTTGCATGGTTTGCTGCAGGAACTGCAGCTGCTGGTCCTTGGTGAGGTTTTCTTCCGTGCGAAAGAGCTGTTCTTTCTCCTGTTTGAGCAGCTCCACCTCGTTCCTGTAGGCATCCAGCTGCCAGCGAAGACTGTCATTCTCTTCCTTCAGGGCGTAGGCCTGCGCAGCCAGGGCTAAAGGACAAACAGAACGGGTGCCAGGTGAGAGCCCTTCCGGCAAAGGGGAGTCTCTCCCACCTTCCTAGCAGCTCAGAAACAGAACCGCGAGGCCTTCTTACCTGGGGGCTCCGTGTTTCTCGCTTAGTGTATGTTGCCTCTTTGGGGAATTTTATGTTTCCTATTTGTCCCATCTGAGGTATGAATGTTTCCTGTGGGCCCAGGACTAATTCTTTCCAGATTCTTACCTCTTGACCTCAACCCCTCGCAGAAACCGCTGTGTGTTGCTAGGTGAGGACAACATTCAGAACTCCAGGCAACGAGTCTTGCTAATGCTCGACTGTCCGCTCCCTTTCTACAGGGCTGCCTGTGGCTCCTAGGAGTGGGCCTTCCTTTCAGTGACCAGCGGGTCTGTAGACTCAGGCAGGAGCAGCAGCCCAGGGGACGGAGGGATTTAGAGGCACGCCATTCCTTCCTGCTCTACTACTGCAACACACGGCACAAATTCTATTCCACCTGTTTCACCAGTAGACTAACCTCTTCTTCCCTATGAAGACTGAGTGGTGACTCTCATACTCCCCCTGAAACCTACAATTCTCTAGGTGTAGACTGAGACTTCATCTGCATCTCCACCTTACTGAGAAACCAAGGCAGTGAGCTCAGGGCCTTACCCATCTCACAGCCGCAGAAACAGCAGAGACTGAACCAAAGGGAAGTGTGAAAGAGCAAACCGGGGCTGATGATGGGGGAGCCCTTCCCCTAGTTTCCACCATGTCGCCCAACGGCCTCTCCAATAACAAGAGCTTGCTGGGCACCCGCGAGGTAAAAGACGCTGGACCCAGAGCCTCGCAGGAACCAACTCGGGCCCTCCACCAAGCCAAGATGTGGATGCTGTGCTGTGCCCACCTTCACAAAGGAGAGAAATGAGGCAGAGCAGTGTGATGACTGACCAATCCCATCAAGCAGCAGAAAGTCTTTAAACCCAGGCGGGCGGCACCTGTCTTTGCTCTCAGTTTCCGTGCTGCTGTCAGTTGGTGTGTCGCTGGTTCGTGGCACACTGTTCAAAGCCAGTCTCACATCAGTGTCCCCTTGCTGCTCTCACACAGTGTCCCCAGACATCCCCCCTCCCCAGGAAAATGAAGCAAGAGAAAATGAAGACAACCTTTATAAGCAAGAGAACAATGAAGGAAAACTTGAAGCGCTTATTACCATAAACTGCTTTAAAGTTATAAGTCTTGGTTGCAAGTCGAGGCTGTGGATGGAGACGACAGCACACCAGGCTCTTGGCACATACCATATCCAGGCACTGCTTCCCACACCCAGCATCGGAGGGCCAGATGGAGGCCAGCCTCCTGATGTTCTGCCTTCACACTAAGTGCAGGGTGACACGGCTTTACTGAGGTGCACGGAGACATCAGAGAGTTCTCTCCTCAAATAGGCAACACCAAATTATGCTAACTATCTTATAGTTGAGCGTTTGAAGGTATTCTACTTTGCAAAATGGCGATCTCTCCCCCCTCCCCATACACACTGAAACACTACTCATCAAACAGAACATACAATCAGAAAAGTTGTGATCATCAGGGACCAACCAGTCGACAAGCATGGACTGCACACTTTCCTATGCCCACACCTGTCGGGGCAATGCTGGATTTCAAAAAGAGCAGGAGGAATGCGCCTCCTCACTCAAGGAGCTTACAATGACATATTTAAAAGGAAACTAACACCTTCCAAGGAAGAGAGAACAGTGTGATGCCTGGCATAGAGTAAGCACCGACAATGTTGGCTGGGTGAATAAACAAGCTGGTGTCAGCTTCATGAAGAAGGAACGCATCTTGTAAGAGTTCCAAAGAGAGAGAAAAAGGAAGACTGCAGGGACAAGAGAGGGCTGCGGAAGAGGAAAACCCCAGGCATGGGGGCAGGGTGTCTCGGTCAGGAGCAAGAGCAGCAGTACGAGCCCAGGGGTGGACGCTGAAGAGAGAGCAGCTGGGGCGGGAAGAAGAGACGCTAGACCCCAAAGGCCAGTGTCTGCTTGGAGGCAGTGAGAGAGAGAGGAGCCATGTCCAGGGGGCGGGGGGTGGGGAGGGGAAAGGTACACTCAAGGAGCAGCCAACTGGGAACCACTGAAGGTTCCTGGGAAAGCGGAAGGACACAACAAAATTGGTGAGTTAGGCAGATCAGTTCGGCAGTGGTGCGTGGAACGGGCTGGAGGCTGGAAAGGATGAAGGAAGGGAATTTGCTTTGGTGTACGGGAGGGTACAAAGTCAAGCAGCAGCCAGTTCTCACAGTGCTCAGGGACGTACGCGTGAACTCACAGATGACCCCGAGCTGCTCAGGAGTGTATGCTCAGGTTTTCTCAACACTGTCCAGCCCAACTTCAGATCTCAGCTCCTGACAGCTTGGGTTACTGATCCGTAAGGAAATGCTTCTGAAGCTTCCTTTGAGAGTGGGATCCCTCAACGGGGCGAAAATCACCAAAAATGCAAATGACGAAAAAAGTGTTGGCACCACACGGGCACATTACTACATTTAGTAGCATTCAAAGACACTTAAGTCATTTCCTTAGGAAGCTCTATTTGGCCCTTTTTCAATTCAGAGTGGCATTTTTATTATCATAACTGATAGCAGGTGTTTGTGAAGAAATCGATTAGTATGCAGGGATGGAAATTACATTTTCCAAATGAATTGCATAGTCTGCAAGATATGCTGAAATCTGTGTAACAAAATGCAGGCAGCTATAAAGCATGTGCCAGCAACATTATCTAAATAAATTATCTGACCATGAATACATACAGGAAAGTGCACCAGCCATTATTTTAGGGACCCTCTTCTAAGCCTATGGAATGATACTGCTGAGAATTCTTATTCTTGGCTAAGTCAAGTGACCAGGGTGCCTGCCAAACAGGATACAATGCTATTCGAACTCCTGGAAGAGGAAAGTGATAGTATTACACACACGTAAAAACAACAGCTGCAACCCCCACCTCCCACCCTCCCAAAATCAGTAAATAAAAAAGAGAGAAAGAAAATCAATACCATAGCCAATCTCATCAACATTTTTATAACTGGGGCATATAACTGATTTACATTCCTGATTAAATGATTTCAAGCTTGATATTTACAGGAAAAAAAAAGTTGGGTTCTCACGAGGCAGTAAAATGGTTACCCGCTAAAGGGTGAGAAATTGTGGATCGACTCCACTTAACTGCAGGTCACCTGTGCATGGACATGACTCGGTGTCACACGGGAGCCCTGAGCCCTGGCCTGGTCCCCCACACAGGCTGCCTGGACTCATCCTCTAACAGACAAAATCCTAGGTGTATCTGACCTGGTGTAATGTCTCAGTGTATTAAAAATTCAAAACTCGGAAGGCCAACTCTTTGATTTCTCTGGTTCTTTCCAGGACACTGTACCCAATTAAAATTTCTTGAGAGAGGTGTCGCGCACTATTTTTTGTCCCTACAGAAAAGCTTATCCTTAAGAAACGGCATAACAAACCCACCATTCAAACAGGTGTGAGAATTAAAAACAAACTCCAGTGTGTGTGTGTGTGTGTGTGTGTTTGACAGGCAGAGTTAGACAGTGAGAGAGAGAGACAGAGAGAAAGGTCTTCCTTCCGTTGGTTCACCTCCCAAATGGCTGCTACAGCTGGCGCTGCGCCAATCCAAAGCCAGGAGCCAGGTGCTTCCTCCTGGTCTCCCATGCGGGTGCAGGGCACAAGGACTTGGGCCATCCTCCACTGCCTTCCTGGGCCACAGTAGTGAGCTGGACTGGAAGAGGAGCAACCGGGACAAAACCGGCGCCCCAACTGGGACTAGAACCCGGGGTGCTGGCACTGCAGGCGCCGGCCCAGTGTGCATCTTTTGGTAAGGATCCCTGAGGAGTGCACTGTGTTCCAAGAAACGGAACCTCCAGCTAAGAAACACCCACCATGGATGACCAATTTTCAGTTTAGAAAGGAGAGTACAGTAAGGTGCCTGAAAGTACAGCACACTGAACACAATTAAATCTTCCCTTGGTGACTTTTCAAAGGCACAGCTGAATCTTGTGGTGCCTTTAGATTATGGTTAATTAGTTCACTAATCAGTCATTTATTGAGAAACCACTGGAAAAAGCTGTAGCACACACAGGAAAGGTGAGGCCAGGGAGTCATGCATTTATAGTTGCTAAGAGCTTTGAAAAGCTTCTAGACACTGGATTTTTAGCATTGGGTCAAAAATGAAATAATAATGAAATAATGACATGGGAAAAATCTGTGAAACAAAGTTAATCCACATTTAAAAATTAGTACTAGGGGCCTGGCATTGTGATGTAGTGGGTAAAGCCATTGCCTGTGACATCAGCATCCCATAAGGGTGCCAGCTCAAGTCCCAGCGGCTCCACTTCTGATCCAGTTCCCTGCTAATGCACCTGGGAAAGCAGAGGAAGATGGCCCAAGTCCTTGGGCTGCTGCCACCCACATGGGAGACCCAGATGAAGCTCCTGGCTCCTGGCTTTGGCCTGGCCTAGCCCTGGCCATTGTAGCCATTTGGGGAGTGAATCAGCAGATAGAAGGTTTCTCTCTTTCTCTCCCTCCCCCCCACCCCCGATCCCCATCCCTCTCTTTCTCTGTAACTCTTTCCAATACATCAATCAATCTTAAAAAACAGTTAGTACTAGACCAGGAAAAACAAAGGCAACACTAGCATATGAGGACGGAATCACAGATCAAATTACATTGCTGAAGGAAAGGTTTCAAGTATCACAGCGTCTCGTTGCATCCTTTACTGGAGTCCATATAAACCATTATTCTTTATATTAATTATGGTCAGAATGACCTCCGCTGTCTCCTGTATTACTGTGTTTCCATGGGAACAGATAATGGCATGCTTAAGTTCTTTAAGTAAATAATCTGGTAAAAGCCTTGAAATCTCTCTCTTACCAGTCTGAGCCAGCCTCAGAAAAATAATTAGCAACATATGAAAAATGTAAGTTATTTTGGGTTATGTCCCAGTAAGCTGACAGTGTGTTAATATCTT